GCGAGCAGCATCTCGGTTTGTATAGCAGCAATCAGAGGGAGGCAATTTTAGATCCTCGGGAACAGCAGCTTTGCCCACACACGCAGGGACTCAGCCGAGCTGCGGTGCTGCTGTGGAACCTGCTGCACTCGTGGAGATAAAAATGCCCCATTGGGGCTGCAGCTGCCCTGGCCAGGAGTGGGTATGGGAACATGAGTCCAGCTGCACCATGTTCTTCTTCTGCACCTTGGTGGAGGTCCTACTGTGTGCTGGGAACAAGGGCGGCTGCTTTGTGTGAAGTGGGTATTTTTGCAGAGCTGATGAAGATGGAAGAGGTGGGTGTCTGGTCCAAGGTCATTTAGCTAGGATCCCGTCCATGTGACGCCTGTACTGGGCCCCTCAGTCTCTAGGAGACCTTGACGTTAGCTAGTATAAACTACCATGCTAATGGAGTATCCAGGCCATATAAAACTCTGAGAACAACGGTCTCCAGATGGCAGATGCAGCAAAGTGAGGTCCCAAAAGGTGAGCAGATTTGCTCAAGAGTTTGAATTCAGCCATGACATGTAATGTCAGCGGGCACTGACCTTCTAAAGGTCTAGCTCCTGCCGTTATGAAGACATGCTCCCTGTGGGTCCTGAGAACTGCTCAGCAGCCCCATCTCAACTGATCATCTTAGATGCCTCACTTCCAAACACCAAGAGATCCTAGTCCAGTTTCAAGCCACATCCAGAATCTGTGTTCCTTTCACTGCTCCTCCAGCTGACTTGATCCTTTTAATTTTTTTTTCTTTTCTGGTTCTAGCAGTCAACTTACCTGAGTCCCCCAACAGCTGGGAGGTCGCATCCACACATAAACCAGTCTATGAGATGGTTCAGCAGGTAAAATTTGTCACCAAGTCTGAAAAACTGAGTTTGATCCTCAGAGTCAGGAAAGAGAGAATCAATTCCTGCAAGTTGCTCTCTGATGTCCACCACACACACGGGGCCTCACATATGCTGCTCCATCACAATCACATACAAAAGCAAATAAAGTGAAGAAAAATGAATGGGTGGATGCAGACATACATGCCACAAACAAAATCAGAACTACTTCTCCCTCCCTCCCTTCCTCCCTTCCTTCCTTCCTTCCTTCCTTCCTTCCTTTTTTTAAATGCTCAACCTTCGCACGGTTCCTGGTGCCCTCATTTCACAATTTTATGAATCTGCTAGGTCCTCCTTCTCTGCCCACCACCTCTCCCAGCTTGCCACTCACCATTTCCCCTAAACACTTGGCATCATCTGCTCTGGTCTCCTTGCAATCCTGGGAATGCTACTTACAAGCTCCTACCACAGGGCCTTTGCTCATGCTGTTTTCTCTTCCAGTAATGCTCTTTCTACATGGTCATGGTTCTCTGTCTGTCTCTGTCTCTCTCTCTCTCAGACCCTCCCTGGATGATCTACTTAGATTCTACCTATTCCCCCACGCATAACCCCTTCCCCTGCTCCCTGACCTTCCTATGCTCCTCCCCACTTGAGTCTCATGCTAATCACTTGCTTCTGCTCCTTCATTTGCACCTTATGTGATGCTCAAGGTCCTGTCTCTGTCTACCAGGATGAAGTTGGTACAAAGTGAACACAAAACTGACAAAGGTTGGATGTGGGTAGCAGCTGGATGGTGGACCTGAGATGGAGTGGAACAGACTGGGTTGGGAGAGGAGGCTACAACGGTTGAATTTACCTGAGAAATAAATTGGAAAAACACATAAATGAACACCACTGCAAGGCGATTAGTAATGCAAGCCTAAACCTCAGTTTATCCATCTATTCAATGGGCTAGTTACCCAATGCCCTCTGTGAGTGTGGGGGAAATGTTCACTTCATTTGCAGACAAGACAGGAAGTCCATCAACACTGGGCTAACCATTGTGAGGGCTTCATCCCCCTCTCCTCCATTAACTGTGAGAAGCCACAATCTACAAACAGTTACAACGTCCATAAATGCTGTCATCAGAGGAGGGGTCCTGCCCACGGCACAAAGTACAGGACCTGCTCAGTTGTTGGTTCCCCAGCATCTCAGGGTAGAAGTGAACTTCAGGGCTGAGGAGTTTGGTGAGGGTGAGCAGCCACACTCCTGGCTCCCCCATCCCCCACCCCTGCTTCCTCTCGCCATCTCTTCCAACCACATGTCTGTCATTTTCTTTTCCTCAGAACGTGCATTTGTAACCAACTTCTCAGTGGCCAAGGAAGGATTTTTAAAAATAGCGTCATTGATTTCATGTTTTGGAATAAAAAAGCAATAGATGAGCTTTGTTTAGAAAAAATAATTAGATGGTACAGACAAGAAAGAAAAAGAGGGAAATTGGCCTAAATTCTCTCCCCAGAAACTTTCATCATCCTTATCTGGTGTCCCGCCCCACCCCCACCCCAGTCCAGATGGCATGGGGGCCTGACTTCAGGGCAGATGGAGCAGGGCCGGCCAGCAGGTGTGGTGAACAGAGCCACAGGTCACCCTGGGCCCTACAGCCTAGCTGTTACTGCACGGCCATCTCCCCACACAATCGCCCTTCCTGCTATGACACAAATGACAGCTAAGGTCCGCATCAGCTTTCTTCAGAGGGGCATCGTGTCTTTGTCCAAGGCGTAGCAAATTTGGGAATGAGGAGACCAGGTCTGGGATGGCAACTGGGCCCTTCTGAAGACAGCCGCATAGAAAGACTCAAGATGGATCAGACGCCTGCACTCAGCCCCTTTGCGTAGTTGTGGGAAGTGAACCAGACAAGTAAAGTCACTTGTCCAAGGTCACACAGTCAGGGGAGAAGGTGACTGCTGTCAGGGTGGGGGTGGGGCAAGAGGATGATGAATTACACTTTCCCCGCCCCAAGGTCAGCCTTTCGGTTCCTGCAATTGGGTACCTAGATAAGCTCTTGGACATCCCCCACAGTCCTCTCAGTCTCCAGTGCACGTCCTACCTCCAGGTCCTACCACCATGGTCAGAGGTTAGTAGCGGCACCCCCTAGTGGTTCGTTTGCTGCTGCCTGGCCTAGAAGGAATGGGAGGGCAATAAGGGGAGGGGCCCCCCATTCTTCCCTTTCCTTAAGACCGCATCAGGCAGCTTGCTCCTTGGGTCAAGCCATATCTTCCTGCAGGCCTGTGGGTGGCTACAATACCTAGTAATGCCAAAAACCCTGACTTTTCAAACTCTGCTGGGCCCCAGACACTACTATTTTCCTGCCCATGGGCTCCTATCATTTGTCCCTCCCCCTCCCAATGCCCCCTCTCTCATTCACTACTCAATGATTCAACCATCTCCAGGAAACCCTTTCTTCAGGTCTCAGGGCACATGTCCTAGTGTATCTCCTACCTTCAATGTCCCTTGGCAGTCTCCACAACATTCCCATCCCTCCCAGTAAGTTCTAGTGACCTTCCATCATTTGGGGGAATGTGAGCCTTTGAGAGATGCATCATGTTAGCAGGTGGGTTTCAGCCTCCACCATCTGTATGCTCTTGGGTGACCCAGTGGTGCTGGTGTCTGTGGCACCTTCTGGAGCTCCCAAAGGTTAATTTTGTGTGTGAGTTTAGCTGGACTAAGAAGGTGCCCAGGTAGCTGGTGGAACATGGCTTGTCTGTGGGTGTCTGTGAGGATGGCAGTCTCCATGCCCCCTGCAGAGGGCCAAGAGAGATGAGCCAGGTGGAGAAGGCGTGGATTTGCTCGCTCTGCAGGGCCTGAGGACCTACAGCTTCCCTGGTTCTCCAGCTCAAAGATGGCAGGCGCACTGCTGCACCTCCAGGGTTCCCAATAGTCAGCCCTTTCTCCCCTCTCCCGGCTGAGTGACAAGTGGCCAGACCGATGGCTCTGCCTACGACTAACACCCACACTCCTCAGGGGCCTCTGGGGAAGTGTGGGCTAGCTGCATGTCCTCCCTGAGTCTCACTGCTACACTGTTACAGATAACCGTGGGCAGGCTCTCATTACACAGCACAGTCTCGCTGGAGAGGCCAGGGAGGCGGTTCCTCCCCAGAAAATCCCCATCTAGAAGGCTGTGGACACCATTCCTTTTGACTAAGAGCAGGAACATTTGAGAAAGGGGGTTACTCTTAAATACTAACTATTCCAAGGTTCTGGAATCGAAACCAGCAGGTGTTCCAGGACTGCCTCCTGGGTGCGGAGAAGGATCTGAGGAGACTGGACTTCAGCAGACCTTGCATTCTGATGCTCGGACCCCTCCACCACCAACCGGAAACGTCTCAGGATTGACAGGGCCTTTGGCTTCACTTTCAGGCCTCCCTTCCCAGATTCTGGCTACTGGCGGTGTGTCACAGAGCCAGGCTGCAGAGCACACTTGGCCAGGGGTCACTAGCTCACACAGCTGCCTGCTGGTGTGCCAGGCAAATTCACTCTTAAGTCATGTAGGTTCCCAAGTCTGCAGCTCAAGTTTCTTGGGAAGGGAGGAGACGTACATTTTTATGATAACCTCTTACTGACTTGCTGCTGACACCGGATAAAGTGAATATTCAGGCTGTCTGCAGGCAGTGGTGGGGGGACCCATATGCCTCAGCAAGGAGAGTGACAAGTGGCAGATTCTGTGACTTCTAAGAGGTGTGACTGGGAGGCAAATCGCTTGACTTCTCTGTGCGTTGGTTTTCCTTACCTGTAAAACAGGCAGGTGGCTTGAGAGTTAAAGAGAGGTCTGCTGAGCATTCGGTCCACATTGGGTTCCTAGGAAGCAGCCACCCTGTATGGCAGTACAGTGACTACCGGGAGGGCAAAGGCATCAAAGGAGGCGGGGCTTGAAACACCGCTGCTCCCGATGTTGTCTGATCTGTAATGCTGAGTGCAGATCACAGCCTCTAATTACAGAACCAAGATGGTTATGAAGGCATACCCTGTGGATACCCAAAGACGGGAGGAAAACCCAATAAAGACCGCCTGCTGGGAACAGCCACGTGGGAGTTGATCCACATCTTTTAATTTTTAAAAAGGAGCAGACAGACAATCTTGTGCTCTTTGGGTTGCCAATAAAAAGTTTGTTATGCAAAACAGTCCAACCCTTTTCTTTTTTTAATAATACTGTAAATATCTCAGAAAGGATATATTGTATCACTTCTAATGAATATCAAAAAAGTTGTCACAATGACATGTTCCCTTGCTCCCTCTTGCCCTCCCCTCCTCCCTACAGTTACCCAAATACTAGTATGAAATTATAAAACAAAACAACAAAAAAGACAACCCCCAAACCACAAGCCTCCCTCTGCCCTGCTCCATGAGTAGTGTTAAGAGTGTCAAGTGTTACGGGCCACATGTACAACACGTGTGTCTGTGATGACAGACATCAGGGATCTGTCTGTCCATCTGTCCATGAGGGAGTTGGTGGTGAGGAGCAATAGCAGCAATGGGCAGCCTCCCTCTCAGGGGGGATGGGGGACAGCAGTTGAGGACCAACTCCACAGGTCATCTTCAGTATGATGCTGACCTTCCCAGAAGGAATGTGTGGCCTGTTTGTGAGCAACTGGTGGGGGGGGGGTGGTTGTGCCCTGGATGAGTGCCCAGTTAGCTGGGGGATGCTGGGCAGTCATCCCAGGCTTTAGATGGAAGCGGGGGGCGCTGGGCAGAACAGATAAGAGTCTTGAAGTTTTGAGTAAATAGAGAATTCTGGTCTTTGACAGGACACTGGAGCCTTAGTGTGAAGAAAAGTCACCTTTCCGCCAGATCTAGGAAATTACAGGAAGAAGGAAAGGATGTCCCTCCCCCTACATGCCATCCCCCAACAGTTACACAGACACAGAAGCTGGAAAACTCAGCAGATGAGGGAGAGGTCAGTCCAAGAGGTCTGAGCCAGGCAGGAAGGCATAGTACCAGCCTTCCCCTGGGGACCATGTTTGCTCTCCTTTTCCAAGAGCCTGAGGGATGGATGCCCAATTCCTCCCTCTGATGAGTGTGAACGAAGGCTCCTCACACCGGGCAGGTGGAAAGCCTCCAGAATAATATGTCTGCACACAGGATCTGCAGTGAGTGGCAGGAAGGTAGAGAAAAGGGCAGGGGACAGGAGGGAGAGAAGGGGCTATGGGTGGAATCCAGCCCTGGGCCTCATTGTAGCTCCCCCTGGCAGGGACAACTATAGATCTTAAACCACAGATCCTGGCCAGGCAGCTGCAGGAAGAGGTGGTTGCCTTCCGATCATCCCTACTGAGGAAGGAGGGACAGAGCTTGATAGCCAAGAAAGCAGGATGTGTGGTGGGACCACCTGTCAAAGGGGTTGGGGATGGGCTGGCCTCTAGGGATCAGGGCTAAGCCATACCACCAGTTGTTAGGGAAACACACTTCCCTAATATATCTTGTGATAGGTTTGACTTAAGATAAGTGGGAGAGAGGTAGGGGGTGGGGGTAGGAGCTACGGTAGGTTGGGGGGGGGGTTCATAGCAAAGAGGGAGAAAGAAGAGGCCTGCAACTCTCTGCAGGCAAAAGTCAAAGCAGTCACTGCAAGGCAGTGAGTCAGGGGAAGACTCCATTCTATTTCCTCCTGCAATCTGGGGGATGGAGAAACTGAGGCTGGGGAGAGAAGGGAGTAGCCGCAGTCACCGGATGAGACTGTTATCAACTCCCGATTGCTCAGGAGCCCTGAGAATGGTGGGATGTTTCCTTTGCCATCTTACAGCTTTGACGTGTGGAAGGTCCTGCCATTGGAAAAGGGTAAGACCAAAAGAAAATAACAAAACACAACAAACTGTCGCTAGGGTACAGAGGAGTGGGGCCAGGAAAGGTCCGAGACAAAGTCTGGGATTACTGAAAACCAGAGGCGGATGGGCACCACCCCCTCACTCACCTGCCCACAGCATGAAAGTTGACAGTATAATACAAGGACTCTAGGAAACATGGGTTGAACCACCCTAGGCCAGGATCTGCTAGTCACTGTACAGAATTATCTTGGTAAGGTGGATACAGCCATGATCACAGGAGTGAGGCGGGGGTACAGGGCACACAGTGGCTGGCTGGGAGTTAACTGGTTAATAGTCCTGTGCAGAAGGGCAAGCCCCTAACATTAGGTGAAGTACAAGATTCAGGATTCATTTACAAGCAGGGAAGGAACAGGGGAGAAGGATCCAAGTGGCTGGTGGGACTCAGAAGTGTGTCTCCTTCTCTGTGATGGCGGAGATGGTGCCGTCACCCTTGACCTTGGCCTCACAGTCATTAACCGTCACCGTCCGCGGGCTAGCCCCAAGCTTGCCCCGCATTTTCAGATCAGCGCTGGGGACTGTCAACTTCTGTAATTTCTAGATGGTTGGAGAGAAGGCTGTGTGAGTAATGCAGCCAGAGCCCGGGGTCTGTCCACCTCTGTGTCCCCAGCTGTACAGATGTTCTTTGGTGCTATGGAGCCACCAGACTGAGGGCTGGGCCCTGGCTCTGCCTTGCTCCTCAGTTCTTGGTGAGGAATTACCTCCTTGAGTTCCCAACACCAGAAATGGGGATGGCTGAGGTCCCACCTTGGGTAGTAGGTGAGAAGTAAGGAGATGGAGACAGTTAGCCCCTGCAGCCTGGCTGTGGGAGATGACCAAGACTAGAGAGTCATAATCAAGAGCTGCTACCCCATTCCTGCCTTGGCGACAAGGGGAGCTGGGCTGATGACCTTGCCAGCCCGTCTCCTGACCTCCGGCTGCAGCCCTCTATCTGTGGGCCAGGATGGCAGGCACCGTCCAGACGCTGAGCTTCTGATGTGCCTGTTGATTATTCAGAGTTCTACTCTACCCTGCACTGGGTTTCTCACCACAGCACTGCAGTGAGGGGAAGCTCCAGGTACTGTGTATTTCAAGCTATGCTTAGAGGCAGGCACCATCCCCAGCTCAGCCTCCATGTGCACAGCCTCAGTCTCTCAGAATCTTGAGCAAGGGCCCTACCTCAGCCCTACCTTTGTACTGCCCTTGGACCAGGACCAGGAAGCCCTCCTGAGCATGGGCCCTTACTTGAAAAAAGTGGCAAGGACTTTGGGATGGCTTAGTACTCAAGGGCAAGGTTGGGCCTCCTCTTTCAGGTGGAAGGCACACTGTCCAGGTAGGATTAACACACAGACTAACCGTGCTCCTGTGTGCCAGGCTCAGCATGTGAATGGACAGGTAGCAGTCCCAAGGTCCCAAGGCCCCAGACTGGGCCGGATCAGAGGCTCACTCTATAACAAGCCCTGCTGTCTGGGTGGACAGGGTATGAGCTGAGGTGACAGGAAGAAGCCAGGAAAAGGCTCATAACTATCAGGAGGTTACTGGACGGCTGAGCCAGGGGTCCTGAGGGTTAGGTTTTAAAGTCCCAGGTCAGTTCCCTCTGAAAAGTCTGGTCTTAATATCTTGACCAAATGCTCTTGACTAACACCTCATATAAGTCACAAAAGGGACCATTTCCATCCACCAGCCTCTGTTGGAGCCCAGGCCCCTACAGGCAGGAAGCTGGAGGTAGCATTTTGGATGGTACTTGTATGCTGTAGAAAATCTTACAGCTAGTGGTAACCTGCCCACTGGGACATGGCCTCTTATACTACATATGCTGATGTAGAGCATGTGTCTGGTCTCTTTTCTGGCCTCTCCCTCTGTTTCGGTTGCGGATTTCGGTTTCTGATCTCTGTTCCAGCAGAGGATTCTGATTTGTGAGTCTACCCCTAAATAAACAGCCATCTATTTCTCAATTCTGAGCTAGTGTGGGATTTCTTTTAAGCTACCGTCTTCACTTGTGTCTCCCTGTGGCCTGTCAGAGCTGACATTTGGCCAAACCTCAGTTCAGATCCTGATTTAAATGCTTTCCCTGTAGGAACCCCCAGACCTCCTATACCCTCTATCAATTAAGCGGTGCTGTCAACCTGTCTGGCAGGTAGGGAGGCTTTGGTAGAATTTACAGAATCTGGCTTTAACCCAGAAATCTCACAGAGGAGCTTCTGGTACATTTTAAGGATGAACATCTGCCAAGGAGGAGCTGGCCATAATTCCCCTTCTATCCAGCCCCGGCCCCTACCCCTGCTTCCTCTACCACCTGCTCACCTCGGGCAGGGTGCCCTCTGTCTTCCACACCTTGATGAAGATCCAGAGCGGGATGCATAACATGGAGGACAGAGCCATGAGCCAACCAATGCCGTAGCCCCAAGCTGGGTATGTGTACACATTGTTGTACTTGAGAGGTTTGTACTTGACCAGAAAGAAGATGAAGATGCCCTGTGGAGAGGCAAATGGAAGTTTTTGGTGGTGCCTCTCAGCCCTGCCCTGCTCCAAAGACCCAGGCACCTCAACTGTCCACAGTGAGCCTGAAGTAGAGGGGAGGCTGAGTCAACTATCAGAGCACAGCCTTGGGGTGTCTTCCAGGGCTGTGATATTTGTCTCCTCTCCCAGGATCCTTTTTCTCAGCTTTTTTTCTACTCAGAGTTTATTTTAGGGCCATCTTGAATCTGCTCTTCTGGCCCCTTCAATGGGAAGATAAGCTCAGATGCCCCGAGAACCAATGACAGGACAAAGCATAATGCATGAGACCATTTTTCTATGTTTAAGCCTCCTTCTCACCAAGGCTGGTCTGTGGTCTGGTTCCAGGGACATAGCCTAAATCTTGAAATTCTCCTCACCTCTGCCACCTTCTCAGTAACAAATCTCCTCACTCATGCTTGCATACCCCTGGTCCCCAGGGAGGTGGACCAGTGTCAGGTTGATGTACCTAGAACCTAAGACCCTGACGGGGAGAAACAGGTTCAGGGTCCCTCAAGAGGGAGACGCTGCCTTGGCAGGTCCAGCATCTCACCTGAGACATCAGCACCACACTGTGTCAGGTGGCAAGGCCATGGGCTATGTGACCCTCCTCAGGGCCAGCCTCAGCTGAGCCAGCTGGAGCGGAAGAGTGGCTAGTGAGGAAATCAAGGGGCTAGAGGTGGCTTTCTGCAGGTCTTACCGCACATATCCCAGGGGTCACAACTTTCCAGCACCACTTGATGAGTGACAGGGGCCGGTAGCCAATCATGTCCTCGATGTTGTCGTAGAACCGGTTGCTTCCTGTCGGGAGGAAAGCAGACAGGCATACTATTTCAGAGCAGAGGCAAAGTGGGCCTCCCTTCCCCAGAATGAGACATAGAGTGCTTGGGCATGAGTGCAGGGTGCCTGCATGAAGATCTAGGTCCCTTGGGTGGCATTATCAGGTGTGAGAAGTGAGAAGTCCCACTGTGCTCTGGGAAATAGGGCCCTACTGAGGTCTTTAGGTCAACGGCAGAGGCATGTCTCTCTGTTCCTGGCTAGAGATGTGATCACTTTCTCCAATACATACTCCCACCATGAGAGGCCTTCACCAGGACTGGAAGCAATGAAACCACCCAATCTTAGACCTGAACTCCAGAACCATGAGTTCTGCTGGCCTCTACTTCTTAAGTAGCCCATGTCAGGAAGTTCTTTGCAGTGGTGCAAAACCAATTAACCCAATGGGCAAGGTGAGGCGAAGACATGGGTGAGCCACAGGGTATTGAACTCTCAAGGTGAAGGCCTTCTGGGCTGTTTGTGTGACTAGTGCATATTACTCCCAGGCTACGTTCTTTTTTGCCCTTGAGACAGCAGCTCTCATCCTGATTTGTGCAAGGATCAGAGGGTGAAACGAGTGAGGGTGTGGCTCATGCTAGTAGCTTTGCCTGGAGTCTTTCTCTGGGACACAAACTTCACCAAGGGGGAAACTGAGCCTCAGGGCAGGACTAGCCAGAGATCAGGGTGTCTGGGTCCTGAACATTCTATGCCAGCATAAAAACAAGAAGGTCTTGTGACAATAAGAAGGAACCTGAGTCACCAGGGAAAGTGCCCAGACAGATACAGCTTACCAGGTTCCAGGGGTCCAGCCTCCACTTACCATACACCCAGCCGATGCAAACACACTCAAAGATGGCCACAAAAAGCAAGCACATGCCACTGGCAGCATAGGAGTCAAAAAGCTGGAAGATGTACATGCCTCCCTGTGGGTAAGAGGACAGACACACAGACAGACATGCAGGTGAACAGGGTTAGTAGCCAGCCCCCATGGGGTCCTTGCTCTGCTTTGGCAGCTGCTAACCAGCAATTTGCTCATCTCTAGTCTGAGCACCTACACTCTGCATCTGGGTGTCACAAGGACCTGTCCTGCAGAGACATCAGGGCTGTAGGTGGCCTGTGGCATCAGAGGCTCCACTGAAAGCAGAGTGGATGGCAGATGGCTTCAACGCCTCTCCCCAGGTGGTGTTGATTGATGTGGGATTCCCCTCTGCATGCTGTGAATGTGTTTTCTTTCCATTGGTTAATAAAGCAGCTGCTTTGGGCCTATGGCAGTGCAGAATAGAGCAAGGCAGGAATTCCAAGTAGAGATAGAGGAAAAAAGTAGGTGGAGTTGAGGAGATGCCATGTAGCTGCCAAAGGAGACAGACGCAGGAACTTTACCTGGTACGCCACAGCCTTGTGGCAATACACAGAATAATAGAAATGGGTTAATTTAGGATGTAAGAATTAATCAGGAATATGTCTAATTGGCCAGGTGTTGATGGAGTTCCCCAACTCCAGCAGTCTCCAGCCAGGCCTTCCTGCTGCTAGTCTTACCATCTTCCATCTTTTCAGAGGCTTACATGTACCCCGGGCTCCCTCCAACCTGCCCCACCACCCATTCCCGGAAAAGTGGTCTCACCCTGCATTTGGTTAAGATCTTTCAAAGCTCAGTGAAAATGTCACTTTCTCTGAGAAGCCCTCCCTCCTCAGCCTCGCTCTTTCTTCAGGCTTTTAGATTTCATTGTCGGAACTCACAATTCAATCCTAAAAATAGCCTGTCAGCCACTGAGAGCTCTGAGCTCTGCCTGAGAGGCCCCCACCTTGGCCCTTATTGTGCACTGAGCCCTGAGCACAGGGCCCAGTGCACAGCAGATCCCCCAAAAGATGTAAATCACCTGGAGCATGGACTCTGTGGCATGCTACTGGCTGACTTGCCCAGAGCTCAGAAATGGACACACAGTAGGGGCATAGCTCATCTTTGGGATGAATTACTGATGATGGATTGCCTTTGGACCCACTCTATAACACACGCTTGGCCCTTCGATGGCTGACCTTAATGTCAACTTGACCAGAATCAGGATCAACCTGAGAGAGAGACTTGCTTCTGGGCATATCTGTGGGGACTGACCAAAGTGAAAAAATCTGCCCTCAGAGTGGCCAGAATCTTCCATTAGAGGACCAGATAGAAAGAGATTTGAGGAAAAGTGTGTCTTCATGCATTGCTCAGTGAGTATCTCTATCATGGCCTCCACCACCATCCACGGATCCCAGCTTCTCTAGCCTTCCAACACAGACACAATGCTAATGATTTTCAAGTGATCTTCCTGGACCTCTAGTCCCAGTTTACAACCATTGGGGTATCCTGCTTCATGGGACAAGTAACTATCATGTAAACCATCCTAGGGAACCCCTTTTTATACTATGTTTCTGTAGAGAGCCCTAACAGATCTCTTGGCATTCTCCCTCAAACAGTACATTGTCACTCTTCACATACTGTTCATATGATGTTAGGCATTACGAATAATCCAGAGATGATTGGCCGGCAGGAAGTGTGCTGGTCCTATGAAAACAGGAGGGACCTAGGAAGCAGCAGATTGTTGCTCATGGGGGTTCTGGTGTGAAGGGACAACCATCAGATCAATTCTGAAGATGAAATTTGGTGGAAAGATTGCCACTCAAAGTCTTCTTCATGAGGATTTGGGGGTGCTGAGAGCAGGGGAAGAGCAGGGAGGCAATGTGGGAAGTTCTTCTGTATATGTGTTGATTTTATTGGTTAATGAATAAAGAAGCTGCTTTGGCCTGTGATAGAACAGAGTAGAGCTAGGCGGGAAAACTAAATTGAATGGGAGAGAGAAGGCGGAGTTAGTGAAATGTCATGTAGCCACCACCAGAGGAGAAAGACCTTAGAACCTTGACGGTAGGCCATGACCTCGTGGTGATGCACAGATTAATTCAGATAGGTTGATTTAAGAGGTAAGAGTTAGCTAAAAATATGCTTAAGCTATTGGCCAAATAGTACTGCAATTAATACAGATTTCTGTGTGATTATTTCAGGAGTCTGGTGGCCAGGGATGAACGAGCAGCCTCTGTCAACAGGGAGGGAGAAGAGCAGCCAGGATCGGATTTGAAATGACATTTGTAAGGAAAACCATCCTGATATATAAATGGTACTCAAAGAACTGACATGCAGGGAAATCAACATGAAAGAGCATGGAGGGGTCAGGTTGGGGAAGCTGGGGAAGTCAGGACAGTGGGCTAAAAAAACAGAGAGCAGTTACAGGACCTCTTGTGTCTACCGAGGGGTCTCACTTGGAACAAGAGTCCCCCAAGGCACCTCCCTTGGGCTGTCTTCTGTCATGCATATTCCATAGCTTGAGACCATGTGCTCCCTCATTTGTTACCTCCAGAGATAGAGGTAAAATCATAAGGAAGACAGGGCCACACATAACACCATTGTGAAGAGCTGGTTGAGTATGCAGGGCACGGGGAGACAGTGACTAACTGCAGAGCCCACGCACCATCTGGACACACGGTTCTGGGTAATGGAGGTTAGGGGGGCATGGGTATGAGGCCTGAAGTACAGATTTTCTGGAATGTACCAGAAGTATTTTTTTCCAGGAATAACGTTCCCTTTTTAATATTATTGGTGATACCCTCATGTTTTGAAAACACAGGGAGGGTGGAGCTACTACTCACCCTTCATGATACTCAATGAACAACGCCAGAGACATCTCATTCGAGACTACATGCTATGAGCCACAGTGTTTTCACTGTGCTTATAAAGGGATCTGCTCTTCCAGAAACATAATGGTTCAATTACGGAAAACAAACACTTTTTAGAAGTTTCTTAGTCATTCCTCAGTGTGTATCAAATTAGAACGTTTTTGCATTATATAATTAGAATGTTTGATTTTCTTTTTACATTTAGTGTATGTGTGAGTGTGTGTGTGTGTGTGTATGTATGCACACGCATGTGAGTTGTGCTTTGGTTCATGTGTGCCAGTCAGAGTACTGCTGTGGGAGTCTGTTCTCTCCTTCTGCCATGTGGGTTCTGGAACCAGGTGGTCAAGCTTGGTGGCACCTTTACCCACTGAGCCATCTTGCCAGTCTCAGAAGGTATGGTTTTAAAAACTGCTGTTTGAGTCGCATAAGTGATCATTCAATAACTCTGCCTTGGAATTAGGACGGAACCACAATTTCTGAAATGGCCCTGAACATACTTCTGAAGTTGTGAATGGTTTATTTATGCAACCAGTGTTCTCAGTATTGATGACCATAAAACCAAAATATTGGTCAACTCTGAAAACCATTAAAGACATTCTGCATCCTGCAGTATCACATATCCAGCTAAGATTTGATTCTTATGTAAGCACATCTACCTCATTAGTATGCAATTTTGCTTCTGTTTTAATAAATGACAAAATTACATATACACCAAAGAGTTGTTTTCAAAGAAATTTCTTCATAATTTATTATAAGTAAATGTTTGTTTATAAGTTATACTTATAATAATATGTAATTCTTATATGTAATAGTACAATAATAAATAATAGTTAATAAAATGTTATAATAACAACTATACTTATTATTTTTAAGTCTATGAGTATTTTCCTGCATGTATATCTATGTACCACATGTGTAAAATGACTATGGAAGCCAGAGGAGGGTGTTAGATCACACACATGGGACTGAAGCTACAGATGGTTGTGAGGGGCCACATGGGTCCCAGGAATCAAACCCAGGTTCTCTGCAAGAGCAGACAGTGTTCTTATCCACTGGGCCAACTCTTCAGACCCTGTATATATATTTTATGTGCCTATATACCCAGGTCCATGTGACAAATTTCTTGGGTAAAAAGGGGCTGTGTATAGCAAAGCTTAAGAATTCCTTCTCTGATGCTCATATGCCGTCACTTGGTGACATGTTCCTCAGAACACAGTCCCATTAAAGAACCGATAGCCTTAACTTTTCCACATTTCAATGTACTTATTGGTTCCCTCATCTCCAATAATTCACTGACAGGCATGACTATTGTTATCCAATGTCCCCACAGGGAAACTGAGGCACCAAGAGGCAAGGCCACTTGCAACAGGATGTCATGGAGCTGAGTAGAAGGGCTGAGAACTAAATGGCAGGGCCCATAGTCCTAGCCACTGGTCACACTGCTGTGGACGAAGATAAGAAGTGGGTAGCCTAGATTTTCTTTAGACTTAAGCTTTAACCAAGTGTAACTGAGAGAGGGGGTAGGGGCTCTGGCAGGCAATTACCAGGACAACTGAGGCTGGCTGGCATGGCTCACTGGGCCCACTGTGAATTTCTTCTGCACAATAACTTGAAGATAGCCCTCTGTGGGGGTGGAGGGCTGGCATGTGAAGCCCAAATGCCTACTGATTAATAGTCTCGGTTGGCTGGAGCGCTGGCTCCCTGATGACCCCCTGGGAGTCACCGTGCACCCTTGAAGAGAGCTCTGTGTACAGGGGGCAACCATGGCAGGCTGTGCTGGGAGTCAGCGATCCCCACACCAACACCTTCCCACTAGCTTCTTCAAGGTGTCAGGTTTATCCCCTCCCCAATTTATATGCAACAAATGACTCCAGGCTGTGTAATTAACCAGCGCTTAATGAGGCCCTACTCGCTGTAGCCTGGCCTCCCCACGCAGAGAAGCACAAGCAGAACCACTGTAGGGAGAGCAGGAACTGGACCCTCACCCCATTCATTTGCTCAAACAGTGACTGCCACTCTTGTTAACGTGGTAATGAGTAAGAACAGCAATTATTCGGTCACTCACACTGAACACAAGATCTGAGTTGCCTCCAGCATCCCCTGGCTGAACAGGGGAGGTTCCTGTTCTCATGGACCTTTGGGCCTGGGGGACAACAGGACAGATGTAAGGCTGATTGGGGATCTTTATAACAGCCAGAGGGACAGGGAGTGAGCTGGAAACACAGTGACCCAGGATGGGGAGATGACAGGGATCCTGGTGGGAAGGAAAGCCAGGGAACTTCCCTGAGACTATGGTTTTGTAGGAAGATGTGGAAGAGGTCTCTGAAGATGACTGGCCTCTGATTCACCCCATCTGCCTGATGGATTCCAGTTCCCCACTCCTCCCTGCTTCTCACACAACCTCTGTGTCTCTCAGCAATGGATTTCCCCTCCCCCTTTCTCTGCATTAATTATTTTTGTGCGTTATGGGGAGAGAGACACCTAATCTCACCTTCCAAAGATACCTGACCCAAGACAGGGACAGAAAGGCTGTGGAGGTGGAATGAGCACATGGTTTAGAAGACCTCCTCAATTCGGGGTCAGTGAGAAGCCCACCTTACCTACAGGGATAGGAAGAAGGAGGAACACACAGGAGGCTGAGGCTGGAACACACAGCAAATGTCACCCAGGTGCCTAATCTGAGAGACGTTCCAGAAAAGCCAGTATTGAACTTGACATCATGACATGGAGCCGGTTCTGGGCCCAAGAGCTGACATTGTGCTATTCACCGGAGGGTCACCAAGGGATGACCAGGGAAACACTGTCTGGCCTGACAGGTGCCCATGTGAGTTGTCCTGTCTAGCAATGACTGCCTGTAGCACTAACACAGTGAGGATCCTGTACTCAGAGTCTGTGTTTGCTCTCACAGTGTCCTGAAAGGAAGAGCAGGTTCCCGAGTAGTGGAGAAGGTTCTGGATCTGCCCGCAGCCTCGGGGTCTGAGGTCTGGGAGCTGGAGTGTGATGGAGCACAGGTGACATCACTTACCTCTGTCAGCATCACCAGGCCTAGGAAATAGGAGATGATGGACAGGGCCAGGATGAGCAGTTCTCGCCGGTAGCCCCGTCGGAAGACCTTGGGGTACATGTCTACCACGGCAGTCACGAGGCTCTCCACGCACACAAACTAGAGGGAGAGACACAATGTGTGAGGCCCATGTAAAGGCCTGTCTTGGCACCCTGGGTCCACATACCAGGGGCTCCCTTCTTACTGGCCTACCCTGCACCTTCACATTCCATCCCGTTACAGAGGCAACAACAGCAAACCCAGCCCCGACTAGTCCCAGTAGGTTCACTGAATGGACCAGGACAAAGATGCTGAGAGAGAGAGAGAAGCTACTGCCCAGGGTCACTCAGCACACAGACCAGACTACTAACCATCTCCTGCCGCCTCAGGGTTTGTGAGTGACAGAAGACCCAGCCTTTGCCCCAAGGCAAGGCGGGAGTCTCAAAACCCTCCTGGGAGCTTGGGAATCTGCTCTCACAGCAGGCTCTCCATTGGCCATTGTCTTTGACTTCTAGGACTCTGCCAATCCCCTGCTCTATGACCGAGGGAAAGCCACATCCAGTTCTGTTACCTTTTGGTGGCAGAGCCCAGCTGTGAACCACCTGCTTCTGATGTGGTCTCCCACCTTTGTGCTATGGAGTGCACGTTTGCTAGTTACCATGTTGGGGGACCCTGAACCCCCTATTCGTCTGATTCACATCTATCTTCCCAGACAAGGTATTTCCATTATACATAAAGGGTTGAGGCCCAGAGAGGGGAGGGGAGGTCAAAGGCACACAGCTAGGAGCTATTCGGAACTGATGCTCAACCCTGGCCCTCTGCACTGCCTCCACAGCAAGGGCTGGTACTGCCAGCCTTCCCCCAGGGTCCTGTGGAGGGAAATGGGAGTCAAAGAAGGCTGCTTACCCAGGAAGCTAATGAGGGTGTGGATGTGTAAGAGGCAAGCAGACCTGGGTATCTGCCCCAGCAAGTCACTCGGCTCCTCTAAGCCTTGGCTTCTACTTTTAAACCCAGAGGGGAATGAGCAGAGCCCATGCCTCAGTCCCACCTCCTCCGTCAGGCAGCAGCCTCTGCCTCCCTGTCACACACCAGCTGCAGAGCCCTGATTTCCAAAAGGCTTTGCCGACAACAATGGAAGGGGAAGCTATCAGCAGAAACAGCCGGCGTGTCTGCGGCATGGCTTAGTGGATTCTGGGGAAGGATTCTGGCTCCAGAGAGAAACTGAATGTGGCTGGATTGACAGACACGCAGGGCAGGGCTTGGGTGTTCAGTGACTCTTGCAATGTCGTGAGTGGGAGTAGTGCTCGTTGGGCTAACCTGGGCACCACCCTCCCCCCTAAGGCTGGAGGATCAGGGCTGCTTCCCTTGTCAACCGTAGCTCTCTTCTTCACAGAATAGGATTGTCAGGATGCCCTACTGAGAGCCTCCAACATGGCTGGAAGCAGTTCTCTGGGCTCAGCAGTGGGCAGGGGTTGTATTCTAGGCCTGTGGTCAAGGAGAGGCCACAGGCTTGAAGCTGGAAGGCCATGGGGAGGATGAGACTGGGCTTAGAGAGAAGCAGGGAGGGAGGGTAGGCTGGTGTAGGGGATGAGGGTACAGGAGCATGCAATTCACTCCTAGGTACTGCTCCAAAGACAACTGTGGCAGAGGGAGGGAGGGAGGGAGGGAGGGACAGAGGTCCCTAGGGCCTAGTGGGTATACAGCAGCTGGATGAAGGGGATGAAGCACCCAGAGGATCACAAGAACAGGTCCTGGAGACCTCGTCACAGGGCCAGAGGAAGGAAACTAGCTCTCCTGTGTCCCAAGTGCTCTATGGCTTGGTCGGAATGGGGACACGGGGACCCTTGTCTATAATTAGTCACAGTCCACCCTTTTAGGACCTGTTCTGCTTTTCCTCGAACCCCTGGCTGGGAGTCACTTATCAGAATGAAAGAACTTAGAGCATCATTTTAAAAGTTTAATTGGGGGCCAGATGTGATGATACACATCTGTAGTCCCAGCACTCTGGAGGCAGAGAAGAACAGATCTACATGAGTTTGAGGCTAGCCTGGTCTACATAGTGAGTTCTAGGACAGCCAGGGCTACACAGAGAAACCATGTCTTGAAAAACAAACAACGCCCCCCCCCACACCACCCAAAAAATCAAATTGGGATCTGGGGACCTGAGTTCCATCCCTGGGACACACATTGTTGATGAAGAGAGGTAAGAGAAGTAATCGTCACAAGTTGTCCTCTGACCTCTGCGTGTGTACTGTAGCAGTTGTACACACACACACACACACACACACACACACACACACTATATATATATATATATATATATATATATATATATATATATAGTAAAGTAGACAAGAAGGGGTGGAGGGGCACCAAATAGACTAGACATGTCTATGACTGGAGTCTACCAAGAAAGTGGCAGGGCTGCTGGGTGGCCTGATGTGGGAGGCCAAGAGAGAGCCCAGGGTCTAAAAGCTGTAGCACCTGGCCTGTCTAGTCCCTGTTCTTCTGTTCCTCCCTTCCCATTCTTTCCCCCTTCCCAATATGTCTCTTCCCTCCCCCTCCCACCATCCCCTTCCCTCTTTCTGCCCCTCACCTGACTGTCCAGGCCCAGGAAGATGAGCATCATGAAGAACAAGGTGGCCCACAATGGGGAGAGGGGCATCATCGTGACGGCTTTGGGGTAGGCGATGAAAGCCAGTCCAGGACCTGGAGGGGAGGGAAAGAGGTCAGTCTTCCAGTGTTTCCATCTACAGGGACATGGCAGCGTTGCAGGCCACTGGACCCAGGTCCCACTGGCATCTCCTGTCCGGACTGTGCTGATGGTGCAGTGTTAATATATGCCTACAGAAAAGGGTGTCGCTGTGCAGAGGGCCAGGAGTCTCTGACCCACAGATCTGTGTCTGCTGCCAGCTACTTTCCCATTGTTCAAATATTCTCTCCAGGACCAGACAGCAGCTGAGCCAGAGTGGAACAGTCTCCCTAAAGGTGGTTCTGAGAATAGTGAGAACGCCGCCAAGCAGAAGGAATTGTTACAGAACAACCCATATACCATAAGAGCCCAGTGTAAGTGTATATCCAGATTCTGAAAACAAGTCCACATCACCACTACCATCAGGATACACAGCATTGCTGTTGCCTCTAGCTGCTCACCACCTCCATCCCACCTCCGTCAGCATCCTTGGCAAACACTGGTAGGGTTTTTTTTGTTTTGTTTTTTGTTTTTCAAGACAGGGTTTCTCTAGCTTTGGAGCCTGTTCTAGAACTAGCTCTTATAGACCAGGCTGGCCTCGAACTCACAGAGATCTGCTTGCCTCTGCCTCCCAAGTGCTGGGAGTAAAGGCATGCGCTATCACCGCCCGGTGGATTTTTTTTTAAATGAGATTAATTTTAAGAGTTGTGTGTGTGTGTGTGTAAGTATGTGTGTGTGTGTGTGTGTACATGTGTGCATCTGAAAGCCTGGAGGCCAGTAGGGAGTGTTAGACACCCTAAAGCTGGAGGCACAGGCGATTTTACTACCTGAGGAATAGTTCATGTCCCTAACCTCTAAGCCACCTCTCCAGCTTTTTTATTATTATTATTTTAGATTTTGGTTGTTTGTGCTGCTTAGGATGGAATTGCTGGGGGTAAAAACCGCAAACTTCACCTATGAAATGCTGATTTCAAATGCAGTCAAGCCATTTTGTCATCTTAAAACAGCATTTGAGGCTCCATGTTCTTGCCAGCACTTGGTACTGTTATTCTTTCGGGCTCAACAATGACTTTGCACTGTCCATTCACTTTGGTTTTAATCTGTGTTTCCGGCTACCTTTGGTGCTTACTATTCCCACAAATGCCTCCTTTATTGGTCCATTTCCTTTTTATTGGGTTGGAGCAGGGTTTTTGTTGTTGTTGTTAGATGGGAAGAAGGTAGGCATTGTGGACATTTCCTCTCAGGCTATTTTTTTAAAATATTTATTTTTATTCTGCACACAGGTGTTTTGTCTGCCTTCATGTCGGAGTGCAATGCCTACAGAGGCCATTAGAGGGCGATGGATCCTCCAGAGCTGGAGTTAAACAAGGTTGTAATCAACCGCATGGGTGCTAGGAATTGAATTCGGGTCTTCTGCTGTTAGAGTAGTCAGTGCTCTAAACCATTGTGCCACCTCTCCAGACCTTTTGTCTTTAATTTTTTTTTCAAGTATTTCATTTTTCCCAACTATTTACTGCTAGCAAACAAAAACTGAGCAATTTGTGTTTATAATCGTTTATGCTTGATCTCAGTGAAATCCAGCAATTCTCACACACAAAAAAAAAAAATTCACAGAAGTGTCACGTCTCCTTCTCAGAGAAACATCAGCCTTTAGGTAGGCTGGTGTTGGCACCATCTCCATGATGAAGCAGTGACTTTCCTCTCCCAGGGGAGGAGCACCTCTGGGCTACACAGGACCCTGCTCCTCTCGCCCCTCCCCTGTGATCTCAACCTCCATCGGAGCTTTGCTTCTACAGTCATTGCTATGATGGTGCTCGCCTGAGGATGGATCCTCCTTTTTCCTTCCACACTCGTTCAGCAGGAGTCTGCAAAGTCACTCACAAGGTGACATGTTCGTGCCCCTGTGGGCTCCTCAGTGTTCAGTCTTTTTCTCTGGGTTATGACACAGATGATCATTATTTCCTTTGCTGTTCAAGTTGTCCCAGCACTGGTCATTGCAGGCTCTTTCAGGTAGGTTTTACATCCTTCTGATACATTCCCAGGCTTCTCTGGAGCGTAGCCTTATCTTCTGGCTTCACTGTGTCTTGGTCTAGCCCTGGACCCGACTGCCTCTTCAAGGGTCCTGACTGGGCACAGTGATGTTTAGTAAACCCAGGTCTGAACACAGGGGTTGTCTGTTAACTGGAGTGTTATTGCAGGTGGCTCCCTCAGCAATTCCTCTCTCCTGTGCAAGTCTACATGTTTCTATCCACACATGGAAACTGGGAGTCTAAGCATACATATCCCATGACTTCCAATACAGTACATTCTAGGACCTGCTCCTCAGAGGAAAATAGCAGCCTTGGGATTTACACACACTTATCAGTTTAGTCCACCCCAAAACACATATTCCAGTCAGCAGAATCTCTAGCTCAGATTCCTGTTCTGAACAAATACACTACAGTTATTGCTTTGTCTTTTATCTTTAGCCTCCAGTACCCAAGCGGCACACCGTGTCTGTTCTCTGTGTTCCTTAGCACCCAGTGTGGCTACAGTGTGAGAACATCACCCAGGGTCAAGGCCAACAAGGGAGACACTCTGAGAAGCATTGTCCCTTCCTTCCCCAGCCCATCCTTGCCCCTTCCATCCCTCCTCTCATCCTTTGCTGCCCTTCATGACAGTAGCCATTCTCTTTGATTTCCAGCCCTCTCCGTACCTCCTTTGCACGGTTGCCCATGCACATTTTCTTGCACATTTGTCTTTCCCCAGTGAGGGATATAGAAGAACACCCATATTTACATTTTAAACTGTTAAATACATACCTTTTTGGGGGGCAAAGTCTGACTATGTTTGCCCAGGCTGGCATCACCATCCTTCTGCCTCAGGCTTCTAAAGGTGTACCACCATGACCAGCTCTCTCCACATAACACTTTAAAAATACCCTTCAACTGATATTTTCCTGATTACTTTTTTTTAAAATTTAAGATTACTTGTGTGTGTATCTGTGTGCACATATATGTGCACCTATATGAATTTATGTGACCACATGAGTTCAGTGCTCATGGAGGCCAGAAGAGGGCATCAGATACCCTGGAGCTACTGGTACAGGTAGTTATGAGCTGCCTGATGTGGGTACTGGGAATCAAACCTGGGTCCTCTGCAAGAACGGCAAGCACTCCTAACTGAGCTATCTCTCCACCCCTCCTGCTAATTTTTAAATATACATACATGGTGTTACATTTCGTTAACATTGTTTTTCCTGTATCCATGGAGATATTGGTTTTTTGCTAATCTATGAATACAGTGCATACTATTAATGGAGTTCCTAACAATACACCAACCTTGCATTACTCCTGCAATGTTTCTTTTTGGTCAAGACACATAAATCAGTTTATTTCCATGTTTCCCCCACAGTGTTTACTTACTACAGTGAGTTTTCTGTATTGGTTTGTTTCTATCCTTGTTATCTTGTATCTTCCTCTGGTTCAGTGTCAGGCACCATCACTCCTAGTTTTCATATCCAAATGTGCTTGTCAGGGTAGCAGTGTTGGAAGGTGGGTTTTTAGGAGGCAATTAAGTCTTGAAGAGGTGAATAGGTCAAGAGGGATTAATGTCTGCCTGGGCAACTGGATTAGTTCTTTTGAGAATGGAGTGATTCTCATAGGCAAAGGTTAGAGAGGATCAACTCCTTTGTACCCCGCCTCTTTCTGTGCACCTGTCTCACTCTCTGTGGGTTCTTCTATGTGATGCCTCCATCATGTGGTGGAGCTGCATAAGATACCACAACACCAGATCTCCCTTTCTCCAGAAACTATTATCAGCTTAAAAAAACCCCACTCTTTAGAAATTACCCAATCTTAGGTATTCTGTTATAGGAAAAGAAAATGGCAACAACTGGGGGTGTGGACTTGAAAGTTTTTCATATTTCACAGCGTGATTCTTTACTAATTCATGGAAAATTCCTATCCACCTTTTGTAGTAATGCTGTACACCCTTTCTTTTCTCTCTCTCTCCCTATCTCTCTCCCTATCTGTCTATCTATCTATCTATCTATCTATCTATCTATCTATCTATCTACACTATATACACACATATACTCACATAGTATATTTATACACATATGTGTGTGTATAATGTGTTGGGCATCTGCTTAAGTTTATGAGCATCACGGAAGTGCAGCAACTCTCAGGGGCCAGAAGACATATCAGATTTCCTGCATCTGACTGTGTGCATACACGTGTGCATGTCTGTGTGTGTCTCTCTCTCTGTGTGAGTATTGTATATGTATGGTACATGAATGTGTGCATGTGTATGTGGAAGCCTGGATGCTGGGTGTCTTTGCTTTCACTTTCATCTTTAGGGTCCCTGACTGAACCTGAAACTCACTGGTCTGGCTAGGCCTTCCAGCCAATGAGCTTCATGGATCTGCGTGTCTTCTCTCTCCTCCCTCCAAGGCTGCAGTTATAGGCAAGCTCCTCCACACTCAGCTTTTTTCACTCTTGGCGTCTTGTGCTTGGGTGGTAAGAGATTTACGAACTGAGCCAGCCCAAAACGTTTTAAATAAAAAATTACTTCTTTAAAAGATATAGAACTACTCAGTTTTCCTGTTTCTTCTGTGTCAGTCTGAGCCCACTGCCTTTTAAACATATATTCACCCATATAACCTGTGTGATCAAATCCAGGCGGAAGCTATTCACAGTGGTCCCTAGTGTTTATTATAGTCCTGGGGTCTGTAGATCTGCTTCTTCCTTCGCAGTCCAAAAGGAATTAAAAACTTTTTTTTACAATAGGGTGTGCACACGTGTATGTTGTGTATGTGAGAATACATGTAGTGGTCAGAGGACATCTTTGTGGAGTTAGTTCTTGTCTATCTTTATGTGGGTTCTAGGGATTAAACTCAGGTCTTCAGATTGTGTGGCTAGTGCCTTTATCCACTGAGCTGCATTGGACTCTGTGTTCCAGAACTTTTTTTAAAAACTTTTTCAGGCTTTATACAGCTCTATGTGGTCCTGGACATTGCGTATCAGGTGTAGACAGAAATTTCTGCTCCACCAGCCAGCTCCCAAATAACCACATGGAGACTTATTAATTATAGATGCTCAGCCGATAGCTTAGGCTATTTACTAACTAGCTCTTATAACTTAAATTAATCCATATTTCTTATCTACATTCTACCATGTGGTTCAGTACCTTTCTTAACATTGCAAGTTCATCTTCATTCTCTCTGCATCTCCTGGTGACTCCACCCTCTTTCATCCCAGTGTTACCTCAGTCTGGCTCTTCTGCCTAACTGCTTCCTGCCTAGCTTTGGCCATTTGGTTCTTTATTAAACCAATGAAAGCAGCCCATCTTCACAGTGTACAAAAGGATTATTACACAGCACTGGCCCCCTTTCATTGTTAATGGTAGTTGTGGTTTTGAATGAGAATTGCCCCGATGGGCTCATGCATTTGTACAGCTGGTTCCCAGCTGGTGGTGGGCTCATGCATTTGTACAGCTGGTTCCCAGCTGGTGGTGCTGCTGTGGAGTGTTTTAGGAGGAGCAGTCTTACTAGAGGAAATGCATCACCGGGGTGGGATCTGAGAGTTTATAGCCTTTCCCCCACTTCCTGCTGGCTTCTCTGCTTTCTAAAGGTGGTTAAAATGCAATCTCTCAGCTTCCTGCTCCTAATACCACGCCATGCCTTCCTGCCATGATGGACTTTCTATCCTTTGAAACTATAAGTCAAATAAACTCTTCCGTAAGTTGCTTCAGTAGTGGCATTTTATCCTAGCAATGGAAAAGTCACTAATACGTTAGCGAATTGTATTTTAGTTTTTTTCCTTGGTAGTTTTGCCAAGGAGTTATGACTTTTGTTCATCTTTTTATAACAGAGCTCTTGGTTTTTGCAATATTCCCTATTAATTGTAGGAATTCTCGTTATTATTCCTCTGGTCCTACTTATTTTGGGTTTAATCTCTGTCCCAGTATGTCGCCTATACTTGTAAATATTTCATGTTTGCTTGAAGAGAATTTTCCTTTGCGATTGCTTGGTACAAAGGCGTATAAATGCCCCTGCAATGGACTGAGGAGCTAAGCGCACCGTGAGGTGTATAAGGCAGCGCTCACCTCTGATGTCATCTACTTTGACCCACCCGCCTTGAGGACCATCATATCTTCAATACTCAGGACCCCCTGCACCTTCTCATCACAGTGTGCTTTCTTCAGAGTCCAAGTGCCATGCAAGTCAAGGAGGAGTTGTCATGGTGAATCATCTCCCTGACCACAGCTTGTTTGATTCAAACATAGCAACTATGCTTCGGGCTGTGACAGGTGTGACGATTCTATATGTAGAATGGATAAAGGAGGGGAGGTTAGGTCCTCCAGGCACAGGCGCAGAGTGTGCAAAGGGTCTGCGGTGAGGTGTGGCCCAGAAGGGGACAGTCCACAGTGGTAGGGAAGTGGGTGGGATGGCTCCAGCAGCCCAGGGCTGTCCAGGTTGTGCTGTAAACATGACACCTTGAGGCTGGGCACAGAATGGAGCAAGTCCAAAGTGAGTGATGATGGGGATGGGGGGGGGGCAGGAAACAGTAGCCTGGGAAGTAAATGAAGGCTTTGGCTTCCCAGTGAGGAAGGTCAGGGCTTTCTCTGCAGTTGAAGAGAAACAAACCCAGGACAGGAAGACTGCAGTGGCCACATTGTCCTCACCCCCTGGAAACCTCCAGAAGCTTGGGCTTTCCACATCTCACCTCTGCAGACTTACCTGACTCTGCCACCTCAGCAATAGGCACTCCTTGCTCATATGCCATGAAGCCCAGGACGGAGAAGATGGCGAAGCCAGCCACAAAGCTGGTGCCACTATTAAGACAGCAGAGCATGATACAGTCCCTGTGGGGAAGCGGTAAGAGGGGCCTGAGTCAGTGTGGGCAGAACAGACAGCTGCCAGAGCTTCCCCACCTGAGACGGGGGCTTACTGCAGGGCGGGCAGAGAAGCATACACTCTGACAGCCTCCCAGTTTCCAAACGACGTGTCTGTGGTTCAGAGAGGGTGGATAGCTGGCCTACAGTCACACAGCTTCCCCTGCATCGCTAGAAGACGAGGTAGGTCACAGGCAGAGGGTGTGAAGAAGGAGAGGAGTCTGGCTTTGTATGCCAGGAGAAGACTCAGGAGACAATCACTGCTCTGGCTACTGAGGAAAGAAAGACCGAAATAGTAAGATGGGACTATGCTCCCAAGGCACAAAGCTCAGAGGGTGAGAGAAGCCTGGTAAGTGACTAAGGATCATAGGCCTACAGCCCTAGTAGCTTTTAGGGGAGAGGTTTTGTGATGACACCCATCCTGGCTGAGCAGGGGAGAAGTTTTGTGGTAACACCCCTCCTGGCTGAGCAGGGGAGAAGTTTTGTGGTGACACCTATTCTGGCTGAGCAGGGAAAAGGTATTATGGTGACTTCCATTCTGGCTGAGCAGGGGACAAATTTTGTGGTGGTAATACCCATTCTGGCTGAGCAGGGGAAAGATTTTGTGGCGGCTCCTATCCTGGCTGAGCTCACTACCAAGCAATGCCCTGTATTCCACTCTACTCAGGTTCTGCTCAGTGGGCCAGCTCCCAGAGGAGACCAATCAGAGCAGTTGCTTTGGCTTGCTCTTGAGAGGTACTCACCAACTGGGAAGCACCAACATAAAGTCCCACTCAAGGAGAAACCAGACAACAAGTGATGGACTTTATGGAGATGAGGATGATGCCCCAGAGTCTTGTTCCACTCTCCCACAGGCTCTAGAATTGAGTCTCTGTAGTGCGGGCTCACAACTCAGATCAGGGAGCATGTCAGTGCCTTGCTCTGTGTGGGTGATCCTGACCAATGGTGTCCCAGGGAAGAGTGGCATCATGGCCTTAGCTCCTGGCTCAGGAGTTGGAGTTTAAAAGTCCCATTCCTACTAGATGCAGCCTCCTGCGGACACCACAGAGAATCCCCTTATATTCCATTAGACAAAAATCTGCCTTGGCCACCAACAGACTCAGCGGTGGGGCTTGAGGCTGGAATGGTCCGGAGGGCGAGCCTCATAGCTCCTGTGGCCTTGCGTGCTCTCAGCTAACACTATGGCTCTCTTCCCGCTCACATCCTGCACCCATCTCTAGTGCACTCTGGCTTACCCAGACCCTCTGCATCTCTCATATGCAGGACTGAGAACTCTCCTCTCTGCTTCTTGTACCATGCTTTTTGTAATAGAAGAAAAGGTAACACTAACGTTGGTGACAAACCCACAATGGCCTTGGTAATGAAGGCACAGTGGGAACAGAACTAGGCAAGGAATTAGAAGCCTGGCTATGAATCTCCCTGCAGGTCTTTTCTTTGGGGCTGACCATGATGAAGCATCTGGTAGCAGGGCCTCAAGGGCTGGGATTTTTGTTTGGTTTGGTTTGGTTTTTCAAGACAGGGTTTCTCTGTATAGTCCTGGCTGTCCTGGAACTCACTCTGTAGAGCAGATTGGCCTCAAACTCACAGAGATTCACCTGCCTCTGCCTCCTGAATGCTAGAATTAAAGGCAAGGAGTGACACCATGCCCTGCTGTCATGAGCTGTTTCTAATCCCCAACCTGGGAGCCGAATGGAACCTCCAGGTCCACTCAGCTGGACTCGGCCATGTGGCCTACTTTAGCACAGTAAGGACATTAGCTGACCTGATACAGACATTTGACTGGTATCTTCTTAACTGGACTTGTCTTCTATCATTCTTGTGAAATTTTCCCCCCACGGGAAGAACTCCCAGGGGAATGACTGTTTCTCTGAGCCTGAACCACAGGATGAACACACAAAGAGCAGATGTGAGCCTGACCCAAAGCCGAACCCACCCACTCATAGCCAGGACAGTTTCCCTTGCCGATCTCAGCCCCTGGGGCCCGGGCTATTTGTCATGAGCATTACAATGGCAGCAACGAGTGATCCAGGTCCATTTAGAGACCTCTTCCGACACAATGAATGCCAGCTGAACCGCTGACCCTTTCCTCTATCGAAAGCCCCATTTGCTCGGGAAGAAACTCAGCCCAGTCCAGGAGGGGACCACATTATTCCTGAGGCAGCAGGGACCCACTTACACATTAACTAGCATCGTCCTGTCCAAAATCCAGTCAAGGGGCCCTTTGCACAGTCCCATTAAGCCTAAGCAGCTCTGACGTATCCAACTGCAAGAATGGGAGGATCTGGAGAGGAAGGCATCACTCCATGCTGGCTACCCTTCTAGATTTCTCCCATCATGTTTAAGGTGCCTCGGTGCGCCAGCCCTGCGTTAGATCCTCCGAATCCCGAGACTGGAGATGAGGTCCCGTTGTCAGTTCCCAGTGAAATTATAGTTGGGAAGCCAGACCTCTCAGATTCCCTTCCTGGGGCCTCGATGACACTTCCTAAGAATCAAGGCTTCCCAGACCGGACTGTGGGTAGTCACCTTCAGCCACCATGTGGCTGGGGAAGGCAGACATCGCTTTCTGCAAATCCCATCCCTCCCAGAGGCCTTTCAGACTACTTTCTTGTCTTAGAGTTCTCAGGGATGTCTGGCCCCTTCAGCTCTGTATTCGGATGTCAGTCTCCACCTGTGAGCACACTCAGCCCCGTGAGGCTGGTCCCTGCCTGGCCGGGCTTTTCCAGCCCTCTCATGCCTTCCCCTACAGCTCCCTGCAACCTCTGGGGGAAGCTTATGTAACCAGGGCTTTGAAGTCAGCGGAGGCTGAGCTGGGCTTGCATGAGCTCCAGAGGCAACTAAGCTGTCGGGAGAGGGGATTAATTGACTGCTGGGCAGACCTGTTTGCAGAACAATCTGGAAACAGATTTTTGCAGGCATCTGCTTTGTTCCACTGAGCGACAGGGAGAGGAGGGGAAATCCTGCCCGCTGAGCTCTCGCCAGCAGTGGATAGGGACAGGTCCCTCTCTTAGCTCCACACCTGCCAAACGCTCTTCATTTACAGGTTGCTGGTTGCAAAAATCTCCCGCATTCAACTTTACATGTATGGTCTAAGCCCCGGAACACATACATGACACTAATATGGCTTCTAATTTAATAAATAATTTGTGTATTTTATTTGGGATTAAATAATACATAGATGATATCTGTACTAATTTGATTTTTTCTTGCTGGGATGGGCCTGGGATAGGGTCTCACTGTATCTTAGGCTGGCCTGGAACTCATTATGTAGCCCAGGCTAACCTCGAACTCACAGCAATCCTGTTTTAGCCTCTTGCATGCTAATGTTGTGTGCTAATATGCTTGGCTCTTCTGACTCTATTTTCTTTTTAATCATAAAAGCAACATATATCTATTGTTGTAAAGTAAGTAAGTAAAGATATCTTTACTGTATAGGAATAAAAAGAGGGAAAATCAGGCTTCTTAATGTGATATTTTTAATAGTTTTCTCTTTCCTCCAGAAGTGTGAGACGGTGTAGATTTTCATATGGTCCCACCAGTTACCCTCTTCTCTATGGACTCGATTTTAGCTTTCTACCATCTTTTCACATCCCCAAATCAGCATTCAATCCCTTAGTTTAGGATAGTTTCTCTTTGTGGCTAACTAGAATACAGGGTGGACACTTTCTCACTGGCTGTGCTCATGGTGGTACCCCATCACAACTCCAAAGTCTCCTTCCTACAGAGGGAGCTTCTGGGTTCTCACAGTGAGATACTCTGTCCATCCACCAGTAAGTATCCACCTGTGTGTGCCAGGTACTGGGTTCTTAGGTGTAAGGAATTCAATACAGTCATTGCAATCAGAGACCCCAGAGTGAGCTTATTTCCCCCACCCACTACTGAGTGTCCCTGGTCCTCTCCACAGGCCTGTCTCATGGTGTGCTGAGTGTCCCTGGTCCTCTGTGGGCCTCAGCCTCATGGTGGCACTCAGGCTACAGGTCTGTGAGGCTCCCCAGCCTTAGTCATCTCCCTGTCTGGACCCTATGTAGCCAGGAAGTCAAGAGAACTGTGGGCCAAGGAGGATCCAGCCACTCCAGGTGGGTCAAGAGAGGGCTCCATGGATCTGCGGAAATCAACAGGAGGCAGAAACAGAGTCCAGTTTGGTTCCTTACTAGCTGTGTGACCACACACAACTTATTGTATATGTACCTATGCTGCACACGCTGTCACTGTGGTCCTGACTGGGACTGTGGTGTGGATTTACTGTGATTCAGGGCAGATTCTGCTTGCGTGTGACAATTTCACAGCTCTGTCCGTGTGATCCTGGGGGCAGGGCCGGGCTGACGAGCAGCTCTCTGTGTTCTGGGCCCTGCACTATGGAAAGCTATGAGGCTTTGGAAGCTGTGGCCGTCAGCTGGGCTCACCTGTAGCAGTTGTTGTTATAGTTGTTGTAACTCCCCAGAGCGGTCAGGCAGCCCAGGCAGATGGCGTAGGAGAAAAAGATCTGCGTCCCAGCGTCCACCCACACCTGGAGGAGGGCACAAAAATGTGGGCATTGAGAGTCAGATGTGAGGGGAGGGAGAGACCAATGGGGGAAGGGTGAGAATTAGATGTGGGAGGAGGGAGAGTCAGATGTGGGAGGAGGGAGCTTGATCTCTGGGTACTCGCCCAAAAGAAATTCTGGGATGGGACTATCCAACTTCCTAACTTTTTTGGCAAATCCTATTAAAACATTTATATTTCTGGGACAACCTCATTAAAAGGAAATTTCCTTAATAAATTCTAGACTTTTCCAAGGGTTGTGGTTAGTAACCCATTACATAACAAGAATTTGGATGTTGAGCTGGACCCATGTGCACAAGCCTGTAAGCTTAGCACTAAGAAGGTTGAGGCAGGGGAATCTCTGAAAGTTCAAGGTCAGTCTGTCTACCTTAGTGACTAGGCTGGCCAGAGATACATAGCAAGACCTTGTCTCCAAAAAATAAATAAGTAAATAAAACCAGGTGAAGTAGTGCACACCTTTAATCCCAGCACTTGGGAGGCAGAGGAAGGCAGATCTCTGTGAGTTCAAGGCCAGAGCTACAGAGTGAGACCCCGTCCCCTCCCCACCAAAACAACAACAAAAACCACACCAAAAACAAAAACAAAGCAATCAATCAATCAATCAACCAAAATTGTATTTGCATATTAAAGGCCCTGACTCCAACGGTATGATTTTGTAAAAATAACTTAACATCCTCAATGCTAAATTTCCTCATTTGCCAAGTAGGAAAGGAAGAACCCTGTCAGCCTGCTCTGAGGCTGAGTGTACCAACAGTGAGCTCTGGGCACAGGTCCTTCTCCTATGCCACATCACACTTAAGTCCAAAAACACCCCCTTTTCTTGGTAATTGAAATTACCATGAAGACAAGGTCCCACAACTGTGCAGAGAAAGCGTAGACACAAGCTGACCCCAAGTACAGACCAGGTGTGTGTGTGTGTGCCCACATATCTGTGCATGTGTGTGGATTCACTAGCTTATAGAATGGATTCCCTAATGCCTGCTTCCCCGGGGTGCAGCCAGCCAGCAGCTTCTTAGTTACCAAAGTCCCCTCTGACTAAAATTCCTCTGGACAGCATGACCTCACTGTGGCAAGCACATGGACTTTTCAAGTACCCTCCCTTCCCCAGGCTCGAAGCTCAGCACCTAGAAGTCTCTAAGGAAAGCCACAGCTGAAACTCAAGCTGGTTTTGGGCTGGGCATCCAGCGCCACCTGGAGACAAGACTGAGCAATGAATACAGACAGTAGCAGCCTTTATTAGGCACTTCTGGTATGCAAGGCACCTTGCTGAACCTCTGCATTAAGACTGCCCTGGAATGTCAGCAGTCCTGGGCAGCCCTAGGCAGGGGGCACTTTTAGCCTGCTCCTAGATCCAAGTAACAAAGAGGACAAGTGACCTGTCCAAGACCACAGAACTAGAGCGTGATGGGTAGAACACACCCAGACAGACTTCTAGAGACACCAGCTTCAGCCCCCATGAGGTTCAAAACCATCCCCTGCATCTTTGTTCATTATCTCTACCTCAGAACAGGATTCTCTTCTAAGTCCTACAATGGATGTCTGCCTAGCTGCTGTCATTGATCGGGAGTGACATGTGTCTTTCTTCTTGAGACACCTCTGACTGGGAAGTCATTTCTGAAAGTGAGAACTCATCTTTCCTGGTGTTTGATTCTGGGTCCCTCAGACCATAGCTTTCTCTTGCACACAGCAGTATTGCCCCATAGCCTTCTGACCCCCAAATCATCCCCATTCCAGGCATGATCCCTTCTCGAGGATTTGCACACAATTGGAACAGGGCACCCTGTCTGAGTCTGCTCATATTTGTGAAAGCATCCAATGATAACATATGAGAAGTGTTTCTGACCCTGACACGAGTGTCTGCTGACCTCTTCTAACCCGGGCTGGCTGGCTTTAGAGTAAGAGCTAAGGAGAAACGCCATGAGAACATTAGTGTGTGTGTGTGTGTGTGTGTGTGTGTGTGTGTGTGTGTAATTCTGGTATATGAGGGGTATTTGGAAATAGAACACAAGAATGTTTGAAAAAAGTCATAGGAATCATTATTTTGTATTTACACACATGCACACACACACAGAGACTGTTTAGTTAAAGTTATACCACTTGGGGTAACCCCTCAATTGCCATAGACTATCTAATAACAGCCCCAATGCAGGCATGGGAAGCCTCCTTTTGAGATGATGGTCAGATGAGTCCATGAAATTCCCCTCAAAATACAGACTATTGCCATAGCCCTTGGTGCCTTCTAGAAAGAGAAGGTACGACCCCATTACTAAGGACACCACATAATTTTGAACACAGGAGGAATTCGTCTGGATCTGACCTTGAAGCCTCTGTAAGGACCAGCTCTCCTGGTCTCCTGGTATCAGAAGAGCCATGCAAGTTGCCAACGAGAAAAGCAATCAACAATAAACAATAAACAATAAACACAAACAATGATGAGAATAACAGGATATTCTGAAAGACACAATGACATGCATATCCTGGGGTGACCTACGGTTATCTAAGCGGACTTAAGGCCTGCTCAGCAGGAGAGAACTTGTGCCTGGCTCTACAAACCTAGCCAGCTATGCACAGCTGATGAGGCTGTGGGGCTCTAGAGGAGCAGCCACCACAGCCACTATAAAGCGGTGTGATTCCCAGCTCCTGTCAAAACACTGTTCCTTACTCCTGCAGATAAGCACAGCTCTCACCCATGAGAGCTTCTTTCTGTAGCAGAGACCATCGCAGAGCCACAACAGAACAACTGACCGTGGGTACCCAGCCCTAGCGGATGCATTTACGCAACATCCCTGCACCTAAGGCTGAGGAACGTCCTGGAAGAGGACATGGAAAGACTGGAAGAGCCAGAGGACCAAGACAGTGATGTGAGATAGTGTCTTCTAAAAAACAGAACACAAAGTGGAGATCGCAGGAAGAAAGGGCTGGATATGATAAAAATACTGCATGAAGTTCTCAAAGAATAAAAACATATTAAAAACGATAAACCCCCACAAAGCTCAAGAATCACTGTTGTGAATGGGGAGGCAGAGAGAGTGGTCGTGAAAAGGAAAAGGGATCTTCAAAGCAGCAGGAGCTTGAGGCTGCCTACACGTTGGTAGCAAGGGTCCAGCGGAGTAAAAATTGCTGAAGACTGAGGAGAGAGAATATATCATTAGTGCTGCTTCCTGCATCACTTTTCTCATGTTCCAATCTCTCTCTGGCAAATTCTTTCTATACAGAAAAGCATGCAGACCCCAGGGAGAGGCAGAACATGGCCCAGATGCTGACTCGGGCACAGAGTGCCCACTCCCAGTGGTGTCCTGTGAGATGCTTGGGGCTGACTGATCACAAGGGACTCACGCCTATGGCTAATGGTCCTGAAAGTCCAGCATTCCACAGAGCAGAGGGGAGAAGACCTCAGACTGGTGGAAAAGCCTGTTCAACCATCCTTCTATCACAGTCCTCAACTCTGAGTTAGAAAAGCTCACAGAACTTCTTGTCCACATACCCTGATGATGTGCACCCCAAAACCCATGCACGGGATTTTCACTTGCAGACAACTTTCTTGGAAGTTCAGTCTCCATCTCTTCCTTTAGAGTGGCTGGTCTTTGCATTCTCCTTGGAAACTTACTCCTTGTAGCTACAAATATCCTCCATTGTGCTGGTCCCCTGGAGGTCTCTCCACCTACCAGGTCCCGCTCACTAGCTCCTGCAGCTTTCTGAGGCTTGATATTAATTATATACTCTTTGGCCTATTAGCTCAGGCTTCTTATCAACTAACTCTTACATCTCAAATTAACCCATTTCTATTATTTTATATTTTACCACAAAGCTCGTGGTTTGTTACCTCTTACTTCTTGGGCCACTATATGGACAGCATATTATTGATATGTATTGATTTTTCTCACATTTAAAAAATTACAATTGTTTGGTGGTTTATGTATTATTTGTTGTGGGAATGCATGTGTGGGTGTGCATGTGTGCATTATGTTCCTGTAGTCAGGAAACAACTTGAAGGGTGTGTGTGTGTGTGTGTGTGTGTGTGTGTGTGTGTGTGTATTCTCTCCTCCCTCCATGTGAGTCCTGGGGATAAACCCAGGTTGTCAGGCTTAGTGTAAGTACCTTCCCGCACTAAGCCACCTTGCTGGACATTTCTTGCATTTTAACATATCTCTTTATTTCTGTGACTTGATCTTTGTTTTCCTCCTTACTAGGTTCTGTTACCTCTTGATACTCTCATGGCCACTCTTGGTTACTTTCATTTCATTTAGTTACTTTTCTTTTGTGAGTGGCCAGCCCTTCCTGGTAGGCTGTCCTAGAATCTCTGTCTCTTTCATTTGGCTCTGGGGTGCTGCAGGGTTGGGCTGTCCTGTGGCTGTAAATGTATTTACAGTGCATTCTTCACGCATGGGAACCCTATTCTCATGGCTTTCTTATCACAGCCATTTGTGATGTGGGACCATAATCCTCTTCTGCTGCCCTGCTGTAGTAGAGAGGGGATGTCACTGTGCAGAGGGATGGCGATGGCCCAGGGGATATTTTCTAGCCTTTGTAGTTCTAGGGTTTCCTCTCTGGTGGCTATCAGAGTCTTTAAAATGGTGGCAGTACCATTGATACTTTCTGCAGCCATCGTTCCTTATTCCTAGCCCCGCTCTTCTCCAAGATGGCTCTGTTCCCTCTCTGTCCTAGTCTCTGCCTGCTCAGATTGGCTTCTCCTTAAGGCCATGTCTCTTGCCACTGGGCCTCACCTTCCCCTACCATCATCCTCCCCCATTACCAGGGACTTGCATCCTGCATGGACCCTCTTGGGTTAGTCTAATATCCTTGGATAGACCACCAATTATTTGCCCTAGCATGGTGCTCTCCTCAGGGCAAGCATTTGTGAGTTCCCTGGGCTTGCTGGTGTTCAGCTGTAGTTTGCTTCCATCTTCTCCCTGCTCACACAGAATCTCCATGCTGTTGCTGTTCTGGTTCCTGAAGTCACTTCAT